GAGTAACATGCGCCAGAATTAACGCATATTACGAATGAGTAACATGTGCCAGAATTAACGCATGTTACAGAAGCGTAACATGCGCCCAAATTAGCGCATGTTATGAATGAGTAACATGCGCCAAAATTAACGCATATTACCCATCCATAACATGCATCTGAATCACTGCATGTTACAGATGGGTAATATGCGCCCAATTTATCGCATGTTATAGATAAATAACATGCGTCTGAATCACCGCATGTTACATTTAGGTAACATGTACAGTAATTAGCGCATGTAACGTGTTCCAAAATTAACATGCCAAAATTGCGCATGTTGGGCCAGAATTAAAAAATCAGGTCACGTGACATTAAATTATGGCCCATGGGCCGCCCATATAAGGTTATAACCTATGCATTTGTGACATAAATCGTAAGGTTATAACCTTTGATGATCACCCAAATGGGGTGATCTTTTTGCACTGGACTATAATACTTATTTTGGATTCTTCATCCTCTTCTGTATTATTATTTTCAGGATTTGAAATTACCGCATCTATAATTTCTTTAGAATTACAAAACATTATTAATGAATTAAATTTACAAGATCCTATTACAGCTAAGGAGTTTATTTGTATTGATAACGAGATTCCAATAGAATCATTATCAGATAAAGTAATTTCATTGATATCGTCATCAATAGTATTTTGGTCAAAATCGTTGGTAAAATACCCATTTTTCTCCAGCAATTTTTAATTGTATTTGATTTTACTATTTTCCATGCCTCACTTGCAAATGTTATAACATCAAGAATATCAATTGGTGTTATATCCAAACTATTTTCTTCGATAAAAAATGATGTGATAAAATCACGTGATATAACTGTTGATCGATGGTAATTTATCAGGATGATTAATATTACCATTGGATGATCAACATCATATAACGGGAGGATCAATGTTCGAAATGTTTGATATATCAAATATATCAAATATATTAGCTATATTGCATATATTAAATATATTGCACATATCAAACATTTTAAACATTTTTAGCTTAGTGTTTTTACATATAAATAGATGCGTTATTTTTTGATGTATTTAAAATAGGTATCCAGTTAATAAGATATTTACCGATATTAAATAAAAAACATTTTTTATTGTTATAAATTTCTTTGGTTATCTCATTGTCATTTGTTGTCATATACACCTAACCCATTGTTTTATCATTATTTATCGTCATAAATCCTTTATTTGTGTCTGATCGTATTTGCCATTGGGAGTGCAATACTTTATTCACATCTGATCAGATTTGAAGATATATTGGTCAATTGTAACTTAAAGATATTAATTTTGTTTATTAACCTTGCATTAACTATCATCATATTACTTATACATACTATACACCTTCTGCCTACCCTAATTAACCTTTTGTTTATTCTTATAAACACTAAAAGAACTGATATTAACAATATCATATGCCTCCACCCTATTTGCAACCAAAAGTTTTCTATACTGGTCCTAAAAAATATTTAGTATTTATTCTGGTTACATCACGATTTCCCGACAACCTTTTTCCCAATGTAATGCCATAGTATACATAGTAAACTTATTAATTGTGGGGTGCAGTATTATATTTAATCTTAGTATATAAAATTTTAATTTATTTTTAGTTGTATTTTTAATTGGACCTAAAAGTCGTTAAACTATTAATCAGGTGAATTAAGGATAATTTGTCTGGGATGATGTTAAACTAACAATCATGTGAGTTAGGGATAATAATTAATCTGCAGTATTGTTAAACTATAGGCCAGGTGACATAAAAATAATTTAGCATCCGAAATTGACGTTAAACTAGTAGATCATTAAATCAGGTGTATTAAAATGTCAGGTGAATAATTTGTAGATCATGATATTAATGATGAGATAATATAGTTTCACAATTAAGGAGTTAATGATGATCATTATGAGCTAAAGTAAACAAAGGAAAATAATTCATGGAAATAATATTTTTATAAAAATAATTTATGGAAAAATTGTTAAAATTAAAATCTATGAATGAAAATTACTAATTTTGTGAAACATAAACAAATATAAATAGCAGTGAAAATGTAACCAAAGGACAGAAGTTATAATTTTAGAGTCAAAATTCGAATTTATAAATTTTCAATATTATTTATTTATTTATTATTTAACATTATTAAACCAAGCATATTATTGTATAAATTTATATTATTAATAAAGAGTTATTTTGTTAATATCTAAGGTGGCAACGTGATTTATCATGGGCTTAGATGTTACATCGGGAAATTTTTTTGGAGGATAAATATCGATGTAAACGGTCGAATATCAAGCATGAAAAGATGATAAAATTTAACCACCAAATGTAATTTCCAAATATTAAGAACGAACAAATTGATTGTGAATTGGCGTAGATGGATAAATAATTAGCCGAAAAGGATAAACATTTAGGAAGAGTAATGGGAATCCCATAATTTTTATGAACTCAAATTCTTAGTGATATATAAACTAAGTGATATCTATAATGTTGATAAACATTTAGGAAGAGTAATGATCTACATGACGTAATATTCATCAAATAATTGACAAAGAACCAATAGGATAATTAGAGTCGATCAATTGCGGCTTAGCAATCTTTAACAATAAGAACGATAAGAAAGAATAATTATAAGCCACAAAAGATAGATTATAAGCAAAACACATAAAGCGAATTAAAAGAACATATAAAATAATGTCAGAAAGATTAAAGAACACAAAATAATGTAAAAGATAATATAAAAAGATAGTATAAAGATGGAACGTAAAAGATAATATATTAAAAAGAACATATATAAAAAGATAGCATATTAAAAGATAGCATATTAAAAGATAGCGTATTTAAAATATAGATAGTATATTAGAAAGATAGTTCAAAGATAATATGTAAAAAGAACATAAAAGATAGTATAAAGATAGAATAGAAAGTAGCATAAAAATTGTATATATAGAGAGCGGAATTCAAGGTAATTCCACAGTTCTCATCCACAGAACTCAATAAAAA